GATTTTACATCCTTATATTTTTTACTTAACATTGTATGATAATTTCCCCATTTTTGTTACATAGGCTTTATTTTTTTCCAACTTTTTTGGGGAAAAATTCAAACCTACAGAAAGTTCAAAGAAAGTATGGTGGAAACCTGTATACCCTTCACTTAGATTCACTACTTTTTAACATTTTGGGCGGATCTCCGCCGGGCGGCGGGAGGGGGCGGGGCTCGTCGGTAACAAGGGAGGGGCGGGGCTCCGCTCCCTGACAGGGTCTTCCTCCCCCCGCCCGGAGGCGAAGAAGGGGCGAGGGCTTCCAGCCCATGTGGACGCGCGCCAAGTGAAGTGGGCGACCCCGGGGCAGGGAATGCGACTCCTGGACTGAGGGTGAATCCTCCACGTGTCGCCACGCGTGCCCCTATGGGGCGCACACCAGTCCCCATCTGTTCCTGCTCCCTGTCTCTCGGCTCGTGCGAGGCGCGGAGAGGGTAGCTCCCAGACTCCTGGGTCTGGGGCGCCCTCCGCCTCTCCTCTCCCCTCCAACGAGGCCTCAAAACCGGGGAACAATATTCTAGGAGAAAAATCTAGGGAGGGCAAGAGAAGAGGCTGTTCTATAAGACGTGTCTGTAACAGCCCACCCCATCCCCGTGTTACCCCACCTACCCCCTCCCATCCAACTGTACACCGCACATTCCCGAATCTACATTGCTTCCCAATGCAAACACGTCTCACACCACACACAAACAACTCCCTGGAGACACCCACTACTCCCGTGGCGTTTTCACACGCGCTGTCCTCATACGCAAACAGCTCTCGCGCAAACACCCCCCACCCACGGGCGCGCCCGGCCCTGACGGCAGTACGCACACACGCAGAAATACCTTCAAGTCACATCCCGGGTTTCATTGTCAATCAGATTAGTGACAGAATGGAAACAGACAAGTCAATAAATCAAGTCTAGAAACAGTTCGGATGTTGTCTATCACGAACTCCTTAGAGGCTCGGATGCTCAAGTGCTAGGCATTTTTGTCTTAGAAATAAAGCCCATCCCTCACCAGAAATGTAGCCCTGAAGCCAAGGCCAACGTTTACTTTTGGCTCTGCTGGGAAGGTAGCAGCCTCACCTCACCACCGCCCCTACCCCACTGCTTTAGTGCCTCCCCACTCCCAGGCTCATACCTGCCTTTTGAGGGAGCAAAGAGAGCAATGAAGCCCTAAAGGGAGGGGAGTTCAAAGCTGGGGGAGTAGAGGAGGATGTGATGGCCAAACTGTGAATCTCCTAGGATTCCCAGGGCCCCAGATCTCAAAATATTTGTTGAGTTCCTGCGTGGCACAAATGTTAGTGAGTGTTATATATGGGACAGTGCTTTTCAAATTTTAATGTCAACAAGAATCTTTTAGAGGTCTTGTTAAATTGCAGGTTCTGATTCTGTAGGTCTAGCTGGGGTGGGGTCCCAGACTCTCTAGTTCTTTTTTAGATTTTTACTTTTTTCAGGCCCTGTTCCCTAGAGGTTAGATCCAGACAGGCTCTCAGGTGATAGGGGCTGCTGGCCCTCCACCACACTTGGGTTAGCAGGACTGTAGGAGATACTGAAAAATCTGATCTTGTGCCTGGTTTTGTGAAACATAATAGAGAACATAACGTGCACATTTTTAAAATGTGTAGTTTTAAAAATTGACTAACAATGCAAAGCTGGACATAGAGGTGATAAATACAGGAAGAACAGTCCAGTTAATCCTTATGGGAGGAGGGTCTCCACAATCACCAAGTGTGAGGGCATGGGAGGATCACAGGCTAGGAGCCCAACGGTTGTGGGCTCTAGCCAGATATTTGGGGAAAGTACTCTAATGCCACTGATCCTTGCTTTCCTTATCTCTGGAAAGGGCGTGATGATCATTGTGTGAGGATTAAGGGAGACGATGAATATGAACAAGTTTTCAAACCTGTAAAAAGCTTACAATGGAAGGTGTCACATGAGAGGCCACATGGTCAAAAAGTATAGAGTGGAGCTGCTGACAGGTCAGAGGAATGAAATCAATCAAGTCTGCACCCTTCATGCAGGAGGTAGATGTGAGCTAGGTAGGATTTGGACAGATGAAGCAAAAATCATTCCAAGCCAGGAGGTCAGTGTGAGCTGGGCAAAGGCACAGAGATGGGAATCAGCATACCATAAAGAAGGGGAATATTCATGGTGGGGAAAAGTAGGAATAAAGTTAGGTGGGAAGAAGGGAGGATGTCATGAAAGTAGGGTTTAAATGATTTATTATAATTCCTGAGCCAGGCATGGTGGCTCATGCCTGTAATCCCAGCACTTTGGCAGGCCGAAGTGGGAGGATAGACCCTATCTCTATTAAAAAAAAAAAAAAAGATAAAAAATTATAATTCCTTGTGTGCACCATGCATTTACTCTTGTTTTAAATGATCTGTTAATGTGCTTTCCTCCCTCACCAGAGTGTGAGCTGCTCCTGGAAGCAGGAAGTGTTAAGCACCTCAAGAGGGCCAGGCATCTTGATGGGAACCAAGGATACAGAAGTGAGGTAATCACAGCAAGGCTCCGCTGAGAATTGGATGTAGTTTTCTAGATCCAAATTCTTGCATGTTAATCATTTCCCATAGAATCTGGATTCTGTAGGGAAGTAGGGGTGTTCCCGTCATCTACTGCAGAGCCTGTCACCAAACAACAGCTTAACAAATGTTTAAATGAATAAAGATAATTTCTCTTATTCCTTAGTTTGTATAGCTATAATTGTGGTCTACAAACGATTTTACATCCTTATATTTTTTACTTAACATTGTATGATAATTTCCCCATTTTTGTTACATAGGCTTTATTTTTTTCCAACTTTTTTGGGGAAAAATTCAAACCTACAGAAAGTTCAAAGAAAGTATGGTGGAAACCTGTATACCCTTCACTTAGATTCACTACTTTTTAACATTTTGCCATATTTGCTCTATCCCTTCCCTTCCTCCCTTTCTTTCAGTGAAAATTGCAAATATCATGACATTTCAGCTGTAAATACTTCAGCAGGCATTTTCTAACAATAAGGAATTTTTCTATAGGGCCACAAGATCATTATCATACTTAGGAAATTTAACATTTATTTAATAATATTGTCTATTATACAGTCCTCATTAGATTTTTCCATTTTTCCTAAATGTGTCTTTTATTGTTTTTTTTCCTGATTCTAGATTCAATCATTGCATTTGTTTATTAAGTTTCTTTAGTCTATTTTAATTTTGAACAGTCCCCCCCACTCTTGTTGCTAGTTGGTTTTTCATGACATTTATTGTTTTGAAGTGTCCAGGCCAATTATCACGTAGAATGTCCTGCATTCTGGATTCTTCCATAATTTCTTCATGATTAGATTCAGGTTAAACATTTCCGAAGAGAACACTACCTAGGAGACATTATGGACTTTATAGTGTGTCACATCAGCAGGTCCATAAAGCCTATTCGTTCCTTTATTGGTGATGCTAGGCTTGAGGACTTGGTTAAGTTGGAGTCCACCAGATCTTTCCATTTTAAAATTTAAAGTAAGCTGTGGGTGATGTCCTGAGACCTTTTTAGCTATCTGCTTCCAGCAGCAGTTTTATCCATTGATTTTAGCCTCTGTTGATCATCTGTGCTTATACTAGGAATTGCAAAATAGTGATTCTCTAATTCTATTATTCCTTCTGCATTTATTAGCTGGCATTCTTCTGTAAAAAAGAACTTTCTCACCTCTGCTTCCCTTTCCACCCCACACCTCACATCACCATGGAGTGAAAAATTCTTTTCTTTTTTTATTCAACATGATATAATCCGTTATCATCATTATATTATTATTATTATTTTTGATGCTCAAATTGTCCCAAATTTGGCCAATGAGAGCCTTTTCAAGAAGCTCCTGTGTCCTTTTCTCTTGGTCCCATCAATTTTTAAGCACTTACTTGCTTTCCCACACAAGATGTTCCAGACTCACCTTGTACCTCCCCTGCTGCGGACCTAGAATCAGTCATTTCTTTAAGGAAATCTTACTCCTTTTAGTTGGAAATGGTATTTAAAAATTGACTTTTTACTTTAAAAATGCTTATTTAATATGTCACCAAATGAACATACCTCAGTTTAGTTCAACGTTGTCTTATTTGTTGAGCACTTATGCTATTACCAATCTCCCTCTTTCTAAATAACTGTAATGAGCGTCTTTATGTAGATAACTTTTCCTAGTTTAGGATTATTTCCTTTGGTGAGACTCTCAAAAGTAGAATTATTGGGGCAAAGTATAAATGGAAGGTTTTAAAAGTCAACAATGACTTCTAAGTGTCAAATCCAATAATTTTGTCTCCCCCCGCATTGACTTCTTTTGCAGCACCTGAATCTGCTGACCTCCCCAGTTAACCTCCCCCAAACTTTCATTTAAATGACAATCTCCTGGTTTTTCTCCTCCCTCTTAGACCACATTCCTCCCTTAACCTCCTAAAGTCATGCATGTCCCAAGGCCTACTCCTTAACCCTCAATTTTCTCACTGGGTACTGAGTGTCGTGTCCTATCTCCTGTTTGCCTGACTTTGGGTGCCCACTTCTGTCCTGAACTTTGATCCCTTTTGCCTTCTTTTTTTCTTTTTTGACACAGTCTTGCTATATGCCCAGGCTGGAGTGCAGTGGCCTGATCACAGCTCACTGCAACCTCAAACTACTGGCCTCAAGTGATCCTCCCGACGCGGCCTCCCAAAATGCTGGGATTACAGACGTTCTGGGATTACAGGTGTGAGCCACCATGCCCAGCCAGTTTTGCCTTCTTCTAAATCTGCTCCTTGCCTTTTGTCTGCACCTTTGTCTTGGGTTCATATATGTCCATAACCTTGACAGGACAACCACATCCTACTACTCTCTCACATGTACACTTTATTCTTTGGGATTCTGGATATT